CTTTGAATCTGTCTCTGAATTTGCCTTTTAATCTGCCGTTAAATCTGCCTCTGAATCTGCCTCTAAATGTGCCTCTAAATGTAACTCTAAATCTCCCTCTAAATCTAAGTCCACCGCTGCCTCTGCCTCTGCCTCTGCCTCTAAATCTTCCCCTGAATTTGCCTCTGAATCTGCTTCTGAATCTTCCGCTTTATCTGGCTCCAAATTTGGCTCTAAATCTGCCTCTGCCTCTGCCTCCGCCTCTGATTATGCTTCTGCCTCTTCCTCTGTGCCTCTTCCTCTTCCTTTGCCTCTGCCTCTAAATCTGCCTCTAAATGTAAATCTGCCTCTGCCTCTGCCTCTGCCTCTCCCCTGCCCCTGCAGAAGCAGAGGCAGATTTAGAGGAAAAATTTCAGGAAGAATTAGAGGCATGTCGTACTGTCTACAATCTTCCCTTGTCCCGTGCTGCACTGTTCGTGGATACTGATCACACTCTGACCACACTCCAGTAAGGTAAAGATCTACGTGTAGCACTCCGTGTTGTGTTGCTGTTGAGTTTTCACTGCTGCACTCGGCCATGTCCTAGGCTGGAACTAGATAGCTAAAATGCAATGGACTATTCTTACCAAGCGGTTCCAATCTCGCTGTGAATTTTCCTGTGAAATTGCCTGCGTCCTTCAACCATTGTTACATCTGTCTTTTCAGCCTTGTTTTATGGTACCTTTTGTCAGTTTCTTCCAATGGCAGTGTGGTCAAGTGACTGCACGGTCGCACTATTGAACATGTTTGTGAGGTCTTTTTCTGATTTAGGGAGTAGCGGTAATCTCAAATGTACATATCCAGTCAGACCTTGCTTAACCGCACACATCCATTTTCCACTAAAATGTCCTGGTAGGCAAGGGAACTGAACACCGGTTATGTTGACTACACCGCGTATGCTGTAAATCTGTAACCAGCTATTTTCTTCGGGTTGGCGAGGGATCTGGATAAAAGAGGACCGGATAAGCGAGGTCTGACTGTATCGTGTGATTTCATGCGACGATTGGCAGGGAAATGTTTTCATCACACATGTTGGAATGCCTTCTATCTGATTGGGAGATTTTGCACCACTGATCAAGCATATGATCTTTCAAATGCATGTTCCGCATCACAAGTGTATACAATATCTACCGTTGAAACTAGAACTTTGTGTATAGTGTGAGGATCATATACATATTGATGTTCATCGACCTGTCCTGTTTTGTCCGAGTACCTTTGCCACAGGTCTGTGTCTCTGTATGCTTACTACAGGAAAGGTGCAAACACTTCACACTCATTGAAGGTGCATCATTAAGATGTGCAGTTTACGCTACGTTTCATCATCTTAGGACACAAATGACTACTTTCAGACCAGCCTGCAATAAGGTACTACATGTGTGCCATGTAACATTCTGTGACTTACTCATTGCTTTATTCAGTGTGTTACTGAGGAAACGACCCCCGGCTGCTTATTATGCCCATGTCTGGTTTATAAAATTGAAAGAAACTGAGTGGAACCAGCTAGAGAGACAAACCAATAGGGAGGTTTCGCTCTACATAATTACGTATGAAAGTCTGCATATCGTACGTGCCATGGAGAGACGGCAACTTTCATCCGTAAATCTCTCTAGCGATATCCGCAGGAAAGCGGTGTCCTACGTTCGGCCCTCAGTAGGATTTTTTGTATGGTTTTCGCAGTCTCTGGGTTTTATCCACGGCAAAGTTCAAGCTGCGCAAAAACACAATGTCCACAGCACGAGGAAAACTACCCTTCTATAATGTATTATATATACTAGTAAATCTGGAGAATGTGGTCTAGGTCCGTGGTGTATGCGGTGGGCGCATGCAGCGGGTGCGACTCCAATGTAGTAAGGCATGCTTCAGATCGCGGAGAAATAACGTAGAGCGAAACCCAACCCATCACGTATGAAAATTACGTGCAGTTCCTATGTAAGTTTCATAGTCAAGTGGTTTGCTTCACTGTCCGAAAAGTGCTCAGTACCCATGTAGGGCAGAGCATTGTACACAAAATAGAGAGAGAGAGAGAGAGAGAGAGAGAGAGAGAGATTGGAAGCTTTGTCACAACTCTGAGTTTCACTTATTACTACGATCATCAGGCAAGGCAGGTTGTCTGATGATCATAGTAATACGTGAAACTCAGAGTTGTGTGTAAGTTTCGTACGTAATTACATGGAGCAAAACCTCCCCGATGCCCCGCGGGTAGCTAGCAAGAGGGCTGCTTCTTACCTCGAGCTTTGTGTAGTACTACATGTCGAGTCGATTATTGGATAACAAATAAGATCGGTTATTACAAGTGCACTCGGAGTCCCTGGAGTGAAAGTTAATCGCACGATGAATAGAAGGAGAGGACATAGCTGATTTTTGTTCGGCAGCTTACAGCCGAACAAATGAACAGTGCTTTCTTAGTTCCGTCCCTGGTATTTGTCACTCTTCGAGGTCAATTTCCATTGGCAAGAGCTACAGCGTATCATTAGAACCTATGTGTTCTTTGAGTTGGAGGATTGGTGTTCCATTCTTATCGGTCTTCGGTTATGTTCTCCACCCTATTTGAGTTCTTCTTCTTACCATCTTTATAGAGGACTCTTTATGCCAGGTTAATAGTAGTCAGTTTAGTTATATTCTCTAATGAGTGACTCAAAACTCTGAGTAACAACAGAGAGAAGACTTTGTTGTTCCGCTGCTGTGGGAATGTTGTGTTACATACTTGGCCCGGTTCATCGCAATTGTCGCTTATCTATCGCCTGAAGCATGATACATGAATACTCTCCGAAACTAGAACAAATTTCAACAATCGAATCTGATGAAAAAAGTCAAAGACATGAAGCAAGGCCAAGGTTACAAAAAATGTTTATACAAAAGAAAACAGCGATGGAACGCGTTGTTGCACTCACGCTTTCACAGGTCCTGAGTTCATCCGACTCTGTATCACTTGAGTTGCTGTCACTTGAGCTGACATTCGTTGGTGTGTTTAGCTGCTGGCGTAGAGTATCTCTTGCTTTCTCTGCCTGGTGTATGGCAGCGATGGGAAAGGAACAGTTGTGGCTGTCACTTCGGCGCTTTGAGGAAGGCGGGCAGCTTGACCTGTATGTCACCACCGAGTGTTTTAACAATGCCTTTAAATGAGGCACACCGCCCTCTCCAAACAGCTGTCATACGCCCCACTGGACATGCTGACCAGCTTCAGGAGTGCTAGTGCCACGACGGAACAACCAAAGCTTCTCGGGCATCGCATCGAAAACACCGTTCTTCTCCAGTATAACTCTGCCGTGACTGTCACCCTCTCCAGGTCAGGATGTCGATTTCCCCTGCTCCAGGTCCGGTCTTCGATCTGCTGCATGCCCTTGGATTTCGCTGCAGTGAATGTTTCCATTCACTGCAGCGAAAGGTTCCCCACTTTCCCATTAAATTCGTACGAATCGTAATGCCACTTGTGCTAGTCGCGATGATTTTTTTCTCTCTTGTCTCATCACAACCTCCCAAACGAAAGTGGCTAAGATATCGCGATCGGACTGGTTTTTGCCTGTCAAAAGGTACGTGGAAGATAAGCGACAATTGCGATGAAATGGACCAAGTGTAATTATGTGTGCATACTCTGAAGATGCATCATGTACAAATGTAAACATTGCTGGGTTGCTTTTGTGTGTCGCTGATTTTTAGGTGATTTACGGAGGCTGTTCCGAGAGGCAATGGACTGGTCTGCAATTACTGGTCCTGTATTCCTGTCAATGGAGAAGCGATTTGGCCAGATCTTTGTTGAGTATTCCTTGTTGCGATGTCCTCTTACTCTTTCCCGTTCTCATGCGTTCATCACCCTTGTAGTGGTTCTGGTAATAGGAAATAAAATCCTTTGAAGGGGCTCCCACACAATCTCAGCTGAAGCAGTTAATTATCTGGCTTTCCTGTGGGAGAGCAACGCTATAGAAGTAACCAGGTTGGGAAACCAAGTGTCTTCAAAATCCAATTTTGGCAGTTTATTCCAATTCCCGATTGCACTGGGTGAAGGCTGTTTATAGCCTAACTAAATATTCCAACATTCAGTGGAGATTCTAATGATTCACTCTGGGCAGATGTCAAATTTAGTCGGAATTGTTTTTCAGGCCAAACTCTGTGCGTTTACGATACATCAGTTGTGCAACGTTGAAGTCAGCAAGAGGTTGGGAGGGGGGGGGGGGGGCGGGAGGGGCATCGTGAATATGCAGCCATGCTTTGGCCCTGACACTCACCAGAATTTAATTCCATTCCTTAAATCTGTGGTCATTTGTATTGAGTAAGGCTGTGTACTGTGTGTACTTTGTGTTATGTGTGTTATGTGTGTTCATTCCAGATTTTAACCTGCCAGATTTCCACCATGGTTCCATACCCCAAAAGGGAGGGGCAAAACAATGCAGCAACTTGGTGTTGCAGCATTGGTTTGCAAAAATGACAGGTGTTCCGTTCCATCATGGGGCTTGAGGGTTTGTTAGGACTGGGGCAGGGGGAAAGGAGGTCTGCTGGTGATTCCATGACCTTTCTGGTCTAAACAAAGACTGAAAGGAAACTACCGATCTCGCCAACTGAACTAAGCTGGATTGAAATTTAGTTTGGAAATCGGCAGCTATTGTACAGAAACTCTTTGCTTGCACTTGACAACCCACTATGGTGTTTTCACCATAGATGGGCTGAATATAAACCAAAATCATATTGAAATTTCCAAGGAAGATGTTGGGTGAAGAGTGTAATGCAGATCATGATCTGACATGTTCTATTTTCCCCAAAGGAGTACACTAGCAACAGACTGTCAGTAATAATACTTGCAGTAGTTACTAGAGACGTTTGTATGCCATCACAATATTCTCATAGGAATGTATGGTATGTTATGCAGTTCTTTTTGTACCATTATTTCTTCTTCTTTTTAATCTACTCTTATTCTCTTTCCCATGATTAATACTGAATATTTCCTGATACCAGTTGTACCTGCATGGCTGCTTTTTCACCTGAAACAGATGTCGTCACACTGGCAAGCATATTGCAGTGCAACCAATAGTTTCTGGCTGTGACTGAAGAATCAGCCAGATGATGCTGAACAGTAACCTCAATCCATCCATTTTCATAACTCTTCACTACATATCACATTTTTACTATCCTAGAATTTCCTCTAATCACATTCCATCCTATATAATTTTTTCATATTTTTGACCCTGTGCAAGGGAGAGTTGGTCCTGGGTGTATGCAAAGGGCTAACCCTGGGGTAGCTAGGAATAGATCAGGGTCAGGTAAACCCTGTAGGTCATCTCTTCAACATCAAGCGCTACGCTACGACCAGCTCAAGGCGCGGACCTACCACGTCTTTGGTAATTATGTCGTTCTGTTTTGTACCCGGTGTATAGTACTACACAATGTCATACTTGTAACCTTGTTTCCCTCTTGCATGGGCTGACACCTTGTGTATGCAATGGTTTGGTCCCGGGTTGCATGGGGAGGTTCACCTGGGCTGCAAGGGAGGGTTGGTCCTGGTTGCATGCAAGGGGCTTGCCCTGGGCTAGCTAAGCATAGATCAGGGTCAGGTAAACCCTGTAGGTCATCTCTTCAACATCAAGCGCTACGCTACGACCAGCTCAAGGCGCGGACCTACCACGTCTTTGGTAATTATGTCGTTCTGTTTTGTACCCGGTGTATAGTACTACACAATGTCATACTTGTAACCTTGTTTCCCTCTTGCATGGGCTGACACCTTGTGTATGCAATGGTTTGGTCCCGGGTTGCATGGGGAGGTTCACCTGGGCTGCAAGGGAGGGTTGGTCCTGGTTGCATGCAAGGGGCTTGCCCTGGGCTAGCTAAGCATAGATCAGGGTCAGGTAAACCCTGTAGGTCATCTCTTCAACATCAAGCGCTACGCTACGACCAGCTCAAGGCGCGGACCTACCACGTCTTTGGTAATTATTTCGTTCTGTTTTGTACCCGGTGTATAGTACTACACAATGTCATACTTGTAACCTTGTTTCCCTCTTGCATGGGCTGACACCTTGTGTATGCAATGGTTTGGTCCCGGGTTGCAGGGGGGGGGGGGGTCACCTGGGCTGCAAGGGAGGGTTGGTCCTGGTTGCATGCAAGGGGCTTGCCCTGGGCTAGCTAAGCATAGATCAGGGTCAGATAAACCCTGTAGGTCATCTCTTCAACATCAAGCGCTACGCTACGACCAGCTGAAGCTCCAGCATCATCATCCTGGGTAATTATATCCTGGTTTGTATACTTGCGATGCATGTACTCTTAGTGCATCCCTGCAACTTTCCTTTGCATGTCTGATTTCATGTAGACTCTTTTGCCTTTGCATAGTTTTTAAATTTCCATGCAACCGTGGCCACATAGGCCGCTGTTGCATGGTTATGTTACTGAGCAGCTGTCCAATGTTTTGCTCACAACCCCCCAGATAGGTCACCTCAAGCCGCATGGCAGTTGATCCCAAGACTTCTCGGATATGGCAGAACGGTGCCAATGGGTAGAGTATACCTTGACCGAAGGTGCGTCAGATGTGTCTGTGTTTGCTGGGGGTAGCTCAATGCATGTACTCCAATCATACCGCAAGATGCATTCACTTGCTTCAAGTTTACCGAGTTGGTTGAAATGTGCTCAATATGGGTGAGTGAAGGGAAGATGAGATAAGCAAACAGCATAAAAAGATGCAATTGGCATTGTTTATACCATGTTTCCAGAAGCTTGCTTGCATTGGGTGCCTTGTGATTTGCTCTTTTCACCCTATCTTCATACCAGACCTTGATAGAATTATATTTGGAAAAGGGAGGGAGGGGTAGTTCAATGCATGTATTTCCATCACAAACTTCATGTAGATGCTTGAATCATTTGCTTGAATCAAGTTTACCGAGAGTGTTGGAATGTGCTCAATATGGGTGGGTAATGGGGAGACGAGATAAAGAAACAGCTAAAAGAAAGCAGCAATTTGCATTGTTTATACCGTGTCTCAGGAAGCTTGCTTGCATCGAGCGTCTTGCAATTTTCTCTGTTTTACTTGGGTCTAACAGGTGGATGCTACCTATATTCCCACCAGCCCACTATTTGGGGGGGGGGGGGTGCAAGTATTCCAACTAACACAAATACAGTTCACTTACTAGAATCAAGTTTACAGAGTGTTGGAATGTGCTCAATATTGGTGGGTGATGAGGAGATGAGATAAGCAAACAGCACAAAACTGCAATTGGCATTGTTTATACCATATCTCCAGTAGCTTACTTGTATTGGGTGTGTTACAATTTACTCTGGTTCTTGCTAACTTTATTATGTTGCATATGTTAAAACTTTCATGCTCTTTGCAAACACATGCTATCACCACTCTACTAGTAGTGTGTGACGGATTTGTGTGTTCTGCTGTAATTACAACCCGTGTATAAGGTACATCGACGTGGACACTGCTGCCTGCTAAACCATCACGGGTGCCTGCTCCACCACTGCTCTGAATACCATCAGTTGCGTCATCGCTAGGGATGGGGTAGTGGACCGAAGCCCCATCCCAAAAGTCTACAAGGTAAATATCACCTGGTGATGAGTGCTTAAATTTATCTTGTTAGCAACACTGGCAGATGAGCAGTGCTATTTTTCAGCTCCTCTGTTATAGTGGACATTATTTAGCAAGGAAAGTTTTGAATTTCTACCATAACGTGCACTGTCTAGCCGTAATACTTGTTTGCTAAAGGCCCCGGACTGTAGTGACAGAATGTTTGGGGTGTAAGGATGCCTGGCCCTGATTGTTTGTCAGTCCTGTTTCAATGTATGGGGTTTGCATGCAGCTTGGAGGGTGTATGCCCATTAAGTTCTGTCCCATGCATCCAGGCACTGCTTATCCGTGCACCCGCCTTATGTCCCGACATTGACAAAACAAAAATTTATATTCAGCGCACGCTTCCCATATCCCTTCCACGATGCTGTCTGGACGAATTTGCCCGCCCATGTAAAACATTTCCTTGAAAGGCTTTGTGCAGTGGTGTTGGATAAGATAGATAAACTATATGCATTGCACCGTGTTGGTGTAGACAAGTACTTTGTGATAGCATACACTGAAGGCATGATGTAGTAGAATGGTGTTTGATCTATTGCATTTTGTTTTCGAGTTACCCCGGCGCTGCAGATATCATCTCCATCGTTTTGTCAAGGAATCACCAGCACCTCCAGCTTCGCCTCTAAAATGCATTGTGCAGTGCTAGAAAAATGGTTCTCCTCACGGCTTCTCCAGTCTTTCATGTCTAAATTCCTTTCCAGAATGCCGCCATGACAGGAGCCATTTTTCTGATCTGCATAACGTAAAGCCCCGATGGAACGGAACACCTGTCACCCAGGGGTATGTTGGAAAAAGGGGAATGTGGTCTCTAAAATTTAATGCTAGTAAAGCTAGATGCAAGACTTGCAGACCAAAAAAGCATCATTAATTTGAAAAAAAGGAAAACCATAAGAAATATTACTCCCGGTTAAAATCATGAAAAAAACGGAAAATAGGGACAGACCTATCGCCAATTTTTTCAGGGTGGTCGGCCCTTTTTGTTTATGACGTCATTGCATACTTTCAGGTGGTCTCCATACAGTTGAATACCTGCCATACAGTTGAATACCTGCCATACAGTTGAGTACCTGCCATACATTCAGATGCCTGCCATACATTCAGATACCTGCCATACATTCAGATGCCTGCCATACATTCAGATGCCTGCCACACATTCAGATGCCTGCCATACATTCAGATACCTGCCATACAGTCAGATGCCTGCCATACATTCAGATGCCTGCCATACATTCAGATGCCTGCCATACGTTTAGATACCTGCCATAGTTTGATTAAGGTGGCAGCCTGGTCCTAAATTTCATATGGCATTCAATTAGGCCTTGACAGATTATGCTAATATTTTGGTGAAATTATGCTTTTCGCATTGCTGAAAAAATAATTGCAGCATTATGCTATTATTATGCGAAAAGTTATCATATTATGTGGCATTATGCTCACATATGCTGCTAATGTATATGATGGTTCTGTGCAAAATAACAGGTGAATTTTTTTGTAGAGGGCGTTGTACTGTAGTAGCAAAAGTTCAACGGGGTCAACGCACCGTCCGACCTACCTATGACCGTCACCCTGGTCACTGATTGTAGTGGGCTGGACATGTTATCAAGTGAGTCGTAAACCTACGCCTTCCTGGTGTGTCCACTTGTACTTGTACTTGTAGAACATGTACAACTGTATGGAATTTGATGCGAACAGGCGGATTAGTCCAATTTTATGCGATTCGTATGCAATTTGCCTCGAATAATGCGATTATTCGATTTTGGTAGGAATTATGCGAAAAATTATGCTAGCATAATCTGTCAAGGCCTACCCCCAGTGTAAGCTTTCCCCAAATCGGCCCGGTGTTTTTCGCCCATTCGGCTTTTCGCTCAGCTCAAAAATACATCAGATTCGGCTGCAAAGTCAGCTGCTTGTTCGAAAATCGACTGGAAAATTGGAATACATGTACATGTATAGTGGAAAATCCGCTAAAAGAATTGTTGGCATATTGGCTTCAATATTGGTGAGATATTGGAAGATTTGGTATATTTTCGGCGATTCTCAAAGGAACCCTCGAAAATCGGCGAAAAGCTTAGCGATTTTTCGATAAGTATCGTTTTCGACGAATTCTTCTGCTGCCAATTTGGAGATTTTACTAGAACCGGTAACGATCTTCCTAATGGTTAATGTTTGTTTGAGAGGAGGTCAAAGGACACGAAGCTTGTACACAATGCTGTTAAAAGTGGGTTTTTTGAACTTTACTTCCTGTTTTGCCTTTCGTGGACCCATAAATGGAAGAGTCCCTATTCATTTCTCAGCTTGGGTTCATATCTGAACATGTATCATGGCTATGCTTCACTGAAAAAAGAGCACTTTTTGCCTGTTTTCACTGAAAAAAGAGCACTTTTTCAGCAAATTTTGAGGGACGCGAAAAGGACTAAGTGCGAATTAAAAGAGCACCTTTGGGAAAGGGCTACCTGCAAGCAAATCAATGCGACCATTCATATTACAGCTGGGTCATGTTATAGACAGGTGCATTGAAATTGGCAGGTGGGCATACATGTACATGTACATGTAAATGGTCAAAAATTGACATTTTCTCATCTTTCTGCCCGTTCAAAGCTCAAAAGCTGACAATGACCACCCTGATCTTGGTGAATAGCCGGGCAAAGGGAAGTGGACAGAGAAAAAGGCCACATTTCTTTAAACAACTCGCCCAGGGCTGATGAAAGCCGAAAATAACCTCTCTCCAAATTTGGCGCCTTTTGGCTGTGGTTCTTGACTTTGCGACTAAACTATTTACAGCAGTGCCAAATACCGGTCACTAAATGGAGGTGCAACCGGCCTACAAGCAGACCAAACATTCAAACCAATGTAACCACTGACATTACAGCTGGGTCATGTTATAGACTGGCACATGTACATTGAAATTGACAGCTGGCCATACACTGTACATGCAAATGGTTAAAAATTGACAATTTCTCATCTTTCTGCCCTTTCGATGCTCAAAAGCTGTCAGTGATCATCTTGATTTTGTTGAATGGCTAGGCAAAGGGAAGTGGACAGAGAAAAAGCCACATTGTTATAAACGATTCGCCCAGGGCTGCTAATTCAGTGCTGAAAGCTGAAATTAAGCTATTCCCAAGTTTGGGGCTTTTTGCCCGTGGTTCTTCAGTTTGCGACTAAACTATTTACAGGAGTCCTAAATTTTATGGATCACTAAATAGGAGTGCCAGCGGCCTACAAGCGAACACAAAATCAAATCAATGCGACAACTCATATTACAGCTGGGTCATGTTATAACGAGGGGTACATTGGAATGACAGATGGGCATAAATGGTCAAAATTGACAATATCTCACCTTTCTGCCCGTTCTAAGGTCAAAAACTGACAGTGACTATCCTAATTTGGTGAATTGCTGGGCAAGGGGAAGCGGTCCGAGAAAAGGCCCCATTTCTGGTAAACAACTCGCCCAGGGCTGCTGAAAGCTGAAAATAACCTACCGGTATCTCCAAGATTGGGGCTTTTTGCGTGTGGTTCTTCACTTCGCTACTAAATTATTCGCAGCAGTGCCAAATAAATTGTATGGGTCTCAAAAACTGACAGTGAACATTCTGATGAAGAGGTTGGTTCGACTTTGGCGATAGTAGGGGAAGAGTGTGTTGCTCCCTGCATGGGAGCTCGCGGTTTTCCTACCGACTTGAATTCTCACTTGACTGGCTCACGACTGCCATCCAGCCCAGGCACACGAGAAGTCCATCGAACCGTCCACTCGGCAAACCTGCAAGAAAGCACCACTCCCTGCTCAATACACAGTGTTTCGGGGAATTCACCCCTCATCAGTTGAGCTTGAGTAGGCTGAGGAAGATTGTGGCTGAAGAGCACCACCTATAAATATAGTGCTCTCCAGGCACAAACATCACCAGGGATACAAACTTACAGAGACGCTCCGTTTCCAGCGCAACAAACACCTCGTGAACACCAGATAGCAGCGTGAGTCAGTGTCGCTCATGGAGGTGCTGAACAAGCGATGAGGACCGTTGGCCATTCACAACGTTGTTGCCTCCAAACCATCTAATTCGCAAGCCCGCGCTGGGGACAACAATGTGAAGAAGAGGTTGGTGCGACTTCGGCGATAGTAGGGGAAGAGTGTCACTGTGTGTTGCTCACGGTTTTCCTGCCGACTTGAATTCTCACTTGACTGACGCACGACTGCCATCCAGAGCACACGAGAAGTCCATCGAACCATTCACTCGGCAAACCTGCAAGAAAGCACCACTCCCTGCTCAATGCACAGTGTTTCGGGGGATTCACACCTCATCAGTTGAGCTTGAGTAGGCTGAGGAAGATTGCGGCTGAAGAGCACCACTTATAATTATAGTGCTCTCGAGGCACAAACATCACCAGGGATACAAACTTACAGAGACGCTCCGTTTCCAGCGCGATATTCTGATGTTGTTGAATAGCTGGGGAAAGGTCAGTGGACTGAGAAAACAGCCACATTTCTCTATGTGCATTGTGCTAGCGCTCTTTGCAACTAGCCGTGTTCTTCGCTCCGTAGCCCCGCTGCAGTGCGATTGGGTTTGTCCCGACTCCCCGTGTACGTGTGGGTGACAACGGTGTCGCCTAGGTATTAGTTGTCGTGCGACAGTCAGTCGTATCGATTTTTTCACTTTTCTTCTTGTCCTGAATGAGAAAGGAGCTGAGTTTGGATTTTGTGCAGTTTAGGATAATAACGGTTAGTCTAGTATTTCTGATGTGTGCCGTTCAGGCGGAAGAGGAGCTTTGATGTTGGCTACGGTGCCATGCTTTCTCCTGTTTATAGTGGTCTGCGTATTCGTCGTAGTCTTGCTATCCTGGGGAACGGAGCTAGTTTCACTAGAGTCTGCTGGCACTGGGCCGCCTGGCCTGCTGGTGGTGTCGACCAGTCGCATGGAGCATTATTTGATCCGCCTGGAGCGCAGGCGAGATTTCCTGCCTCGAGGAACTTCTTGTCCAACTATGAGTGGTCTCAGGAAGCTGCTTCATTCGCCCTGGCGAGTCAGGATGGCTCGGCAAGACCCCATTGCTCAATGAGAGACTGTTTGGACCTCTCGCGGTGTCATGGACGTCCATGCACGTCCATCCACGTCTTGTTCAACTCGTTCTGTGGTGAGTGGTGCCGAATGACTATGGTCTATGGGAGACTACGCTGCATGTTAACTGCTGTGCACCGGTGATTTGTTCTCTTCTCTTTCTGATCTTGGAAATCATTCTAGTTTTCTACACTTCCCGACCGGAGGAAGCGTGTATATTTATTCCGTCCCTGGACACTATCGACCGCGACAAGAGGAATGATGACTTTGTCGAGTCCGTTTCTCAGCTCCTGAATGCTCTGCCGCTGTGGAATGTTGGAAAGAACCACGTCTTGTTTCACTTGTTTGCCGGTGAGTGGTGCCGAATGATCTGCATAACGCAAAGCCCGAATGACTATGGTCTATGGGTGGCTGTGCTGCATGTTGACTTCTGTGCACCAGTGATTTGTTTTGGATTTGAGTAGATCTGCTATAGCGTGTGGCATGTACCAGTATTGCAATAATGACAATGGGCCACATCCTGACACCACATATCCATACACCATGATAACGGAGCCTATGGGGGTGTTGGAATAGCACTTTGAGTCGCTGTTGTTGAATCAACTGTGACACACAAACAAACATTTTGCGGGCGTTCTTTACGTGGTTGTGCAAGCTAATAACTACACGTAGAAAGAATAGGAGAGAAATAGGAGAGAACAAAAAGGGGAATTACAAGGGAAATAGGAGAGAACTAGGTGTAGAATAGGACAGGAAAAACCAAAAACAGGACAGAATTAGCACAGAAATGGGAGAAAAAGGACAGAAAAAGGAGAGATATCGGGAAAAAAAGGTAGGGAAGAAATAGGAAAGAATTACAAGAGAAATATATGAGAAAGAGGAGAGAAATAGGAGTGAAGGAGGAGAGCAATAGGGGTGAAATAAATGAGAAAATAGGGGAGAAATATGAGGGAAACAGGAGAGATAGGGAAGAAATAGGAGAGAAATTGGAGAGAAATAGGAGAGAAATAGGAGTGGAATAAGAGAGAAATCGGCGAGAAATAGGAGAGAAATAAGAGAGAGATAAGACAGAAATAGGACAGAAATAGGACAGAAATAGGAGAGGAATAGGAGGGAAATAGGAAAGAAAAAGGAGAGGAATAGAAGAGGAATAGAAGAGAAATAGGAGAGAAGTAGAAGAGAAATAGGAGAGAAAAAGGAGAGAAATCATAGCCAGCAATCGCATGTCATCACGTACATTGATAATCAACATAATGTTGCGAATCGAACCTTTTATCAGCACCACTTTTCAACGAGGACGAAGGAAAGTTGGCCAAAGGAAGCCTAGAGGAAGAAAATCACCCTGTCCACTTGTCCACTTCGCCATCATGATACTGACATACTGTGTAGGTACGAGACGGAGCAACTAAAGAAATCCACAAGAAAACTGTATGGACACCGCCGCGCCGACTTCAAACAAGAAACCAGACATACATGTGCTGGTGGTGCCTTTCAGCTGCTGCACGAGCGCAGGGAATGTTCACCAACGGCCACACAGCAGCATTCATTCGAGGAAAAAAAACAGTTAAAATTCGAGCGAGACTGCATGCCTCAGTACATGAGTATATGCGTGAGTACATGCAGAAAAAAAGTCAATTTCAACGTTCCTGCTCCGAAGAGCAACTGGCTTCGACTTGCTGCATGGATAACACCAAAGGATCAACATCACCAACGCGTCCGTCCTGGGTACGACGATAAACTGCACCCTGGCGACCGCGGTTGGTCACCATCACCAACGCGCCCGTTCCGGAGCATGACGATAAACTGCTGGATGTAGCCAGAGCTGGAGAGGAGGTACATCGAGGAAGTCAAGATGAAGGCAACACGCAAACGGGAGCCGCGGATTTCAAGTGAAGTTAGTTCGGGTCAGTTACCAGTTCCTGGACACGTTTCTGGTCTTGTCACCCGTCTAGTCTTGATTTGTCTTATTATATAATAGTTCATAATGATAGTAACACAGAAGCAATCCCTGCAGGCTGACCAATAGCTTGTTCGAACGTAGTTGTAACGGCATAACCTATTTTTCTAACACTGCTGTGGCTGAGAGTCTGTCGTGTGTGAGTGCAAGACTGGCGCATTATGTTTTCTTTGGTTCTTGGGTCGGAAGAGGTTGGTTCCTTCCTTTCAAGTTTTCAAGAGTTATATTATTTTGCTTTCTTTTTCAGTGCCGTTACTTTTCTTCTGTTACGAGGACGTAACATGTTCGTACGCGGGGGATATGTCGTGTCCGTGTGTTGCTATCTGTATTGTATTCCGTCTGCTCCTACATGTATCTTTGTCAAGTGTTTGCCGTGGCGTCGATGTGTCTCGTCTATGAATAGCGTTGGGAAACATATCACTATTCATGCTTTGCTGGCTGGCTGCTCGCGCCCTTCGCTCCTTCAGCTTGCACGCTACTAGGACATAGTAGCAGTATATAGCTCGATGCTTTGCTTCGAGAGGTTATTGTTGTTCTTGTTGCTTCTCTGTTGCTTGGAACTTGGTCCTGGAGTGAAGCTTTGGTCTTCTTGTGTGGTGAGGGTGAGGAATGGGTATCTGGACTCCTGGTATATTTCCGTAAAGAACCTGGAATCGTAGAATCCTGATAGTATGTCTGGCCCACTCCCCGGTCATGACATTTGGCGACCACGCCAGGATCAAACAACAACCATTTTCTTCAGTTTTTTTGGCAGAAGACTTCCTTGTGCTAGGCCCAACAGGCCACACATCGGAAGAGTACAAAAATTAGAGCTATCAGATGCTCTCGATTCCTGGCCATGAAAAGAGAAATAAGGGAGAAATGGGAGAGAACTATGAGAAAAATAGGACAGAGATAGGCCAGAAAACGGGACAGAAATCGGGACAGAAATAGGAGGGAAATGGAAATAAAAAAAAGGTAGAAATAGTTTTTTTTTTAAAGAGAGGATTTGGCGAAAAATAGGAGAGGAATAGGAGAGAAATACAAGAGAAATAGAGGAGAAAGAGGCGAGAAAGAGAAAAAGAAATAGGAGAGAAGAAGGAGAAAAAAAGAAGAGAAATGGAGAAAAAAAAAAGAGAAATAGAAGAAAAACAGGAGAGAAATATTGGCCAGAATTATGGTGGAAACAGTAGGGAAATGGGAGAGAAATAGGACAGAAAAAGGATAATAGTAGCAGAGAAAGACGCGAGAAATAGAAGGGAAAAAGAAGAAAAATAGGGGGAGATATACGAGAGCAATAGAAGGCAAATTCGATGGAAATAGATGCAAATGGTAGAGAATAAGGAGGGAAATAGAAGAGAAAGACAGAGAAAAGACCAAGAGGGGAGAAATAGGAGAGAAAATAGGAGAGAACTAGGAGAGAAATGGGACAGAAATAGGTTCTAAACAGGACAAAAATAGGAGGGAAAAGAAATAAAAAAGAAGGGAAATGTAGGAGATAAATAAGTGAACAAATTGGAGAAAAATAGGAAGGAAATAGGAGAGAAATACGAGTGATGTAGGAGAGAATTAAGAGAAATATGAGGGAAAGGGGAATGAAATAGAAGAACATTAGGAGAGAAATAGGCAAGATATAGGAGGAAATAGGAGAGAAATACGATAAATATTTCAGAGAAATAGGGGTGAAATACGAGAGAAATGAGAGAGAAACAGCAGTGAAATAGAGGAGAAACAGGGGAGAACAAGGAGAGAAATGGGAGAGAAATAGGAAAGGAATAAGAGAGAAATGGGAGAGAAAATGGGGAGGAATGAAAGAGAAAATGGGAGAGGAATATTGGCCGGTATAAGGACTGAAATAGTAGGGAAATGGGAGAAAAATAGGAGGAACATAGAAGAGAAATAGGCGAGAGAGGCGAGAAATAGAAAGGAGATAGAAGGGAAAAAGAAGAGAAAAAGAAGAGAAATGGAAGAGAAATTTAAGAAAAAAACAGACAAAGGAGAAAGAACAAAATGGGAAAGGGGAGAGAAATAGGATAGAAAGAGGCGGACTTAGAGGCTGATTAAGAGGCAGCGGCAGAGGCAGAGGTTGCGGCAGAGGATACGGCAGAGATTGAGGAAGAGGCAGAGGCAAATTTAGAGGCAGAGACAGATGTAGAGGGTGATTTAGAAGCCGATTTAGAGGCAGATTCAGAAGCAGATTTAGAAGCAGATTTAGAGCCAGAGGCAGATTTAGGGTCAGGTTTAGAATCAGATTTAGAGTCAGATTCAGAGGCAGAATGAGAGGCATAATAAATTAAAATAATAAAATAAATTAAATTATTAAAAATAATAATAATTGAGCCAGAGCATGCGAAAAGGGGGTTAACCTCTAAAATCTGACATTTCGAGCTGACTATCTACTGTTACTCCAACATGTTTCAGAAATCTTTTGCAAAAAACCGCATCAAAAAATCTCTTTTCGTTGCAATGTTATAGGTGTTTTAGTGCCAGGTGGTCTGTTGGCAAGTATCGCACTTTGCGGTGCAAAGAAAAAAATGATTGTCTGTTCTAGACATTGTACATACGCTGACACTATTTTCTTGATGAAGCATTTGAAGAATATTCATGATGTACAGAGTGCACTTTAATGCCTAGTTTGGACCAACACAGAAGAGGCATAATCAGCATTTTCGACTAAGACCACACACATGCACAGTCGTGGCCCGTAAGCAGCCAATTTCCGCGATTGTGTTCATCGGCAACATGGTGTGAATATTATACAGTTACAGAAGAGCACACGATTAGAACTGTACAGTTACGGCTCTCTAATTGTCTAGTCACTGACTGGTGGGCATAGGTCATCCCTGAACTGCTCTTGCACAAACGGACGGATTTCTTTGTGCAAGTACCGGCGACGAGCTCTGCTCATACCTCCATGTGCAATGACCGGTGGTAAGCCTGCATCTTGCACTGCCTGCACGGTGGTCTTCAGGATGTCAACAGAGTCACTGTTTCCGCCAATGCACTTCAACCATTCCTGGTGTGGCAGCAGCGAAGGTGAAGTGGTGCATCTGGCTCACGGCTGGGATTGGCCGGAAGAAGTCGGGCAGGAAGCGGTCCCACTCGTACCAGGTAATTGTCGACCCAAATGGAGCGGAACGATGATTCACCGATGATCTCAACTTGGGCTGCCGCGCAAGATTCCTTGTACAAGGCATGTACGCTCTTGTATGTTTGGGTAGCAGGCAAGAACACTGGAGGAGCATCATCACGTCCACGCAGCGGGGCTGGATGCGGAATGCCGTTGACTTCTGCATGGTTGTTGATGAACTGAACGCATCTCTTCACGTTAGCGTACAGGAGCGCATTATGTGGTCGCCTGCCTGTATTGCCATGGTCCCTGGGCACCAGTCCGCACCAGTCCGTGTTTCTCCAG